GGATTAATAATTAGCAATATTAATAATATTCATATCATGTATAATAAATATAATCCGACTAGAGCTGGTAAATATATTGAACTTCCAGAATGGATTAAAAAGAAAAAGGCATGTATCAATATTAAAAATCAAGATGACAAGTGTTTTAAATATTCTATTGAGTGTGGATATTGTAAAATTTGTGATAAAGCACACCCTGAAAAGATGTTTCATTACAAGAAGATAGCAAGTGATTTGATTTTTGATGGTGTGAGTTTTCCTGCTAATAATAATGATATAGATATATTTGAAGAAAATAATAAATCAATATCCATTAATGTTTATGAAATTGATGATAATGAACAAATTGTTATTAGTAGAAAATTGAAAAATAAAGATGCTTCTTGTCATCTTGATTTGTTGAGAGTTGATGAGGAGGATTGCAGTCATTATGTGTATATAAAAAGTTTGAGCAGACTTATTAATAATCAAAAAAGTAATCATAATGGTAAGTCCTATTTTTGTAAATATTGTAATCATGGATTTAGAAATGAAGAATTATTAAATAAACATTATGATAGTGGATGCATGGAAGTTGATGGACAACAAATAGTAATGCCTAAGCCTTATGAAAAAGTTAGTTTTAAGCATCACTTCAAAAAGTTAAGGTGTCCTTTTGTTGTATATGCTGATTTTGAATGTTTGACAGAGGAACTGAAAAAACCTGATGAAGATGAAGATAAAAACACTTTTTCTTATCAAGAGCATAAGCCATGTGGTTTTATGCTTAATATGGTTAATGCTGTTGATAATACAAATTATGAATTTATGTATCGTGGTAAAGATGCTGTTGATGTGTTTTGTCAAAAACTTAATGAGATTAGGACAGAAGTGAAGGAGAAGATGGGAGAAAACGAAAAAATCGACATGACTGATGAAGACAAAGAAGATTTTAAAAATGCTAAAAACTGCTTTATTTGTGGGGATAAGTTTAGAATGAACTATAAGAATGCCAAGGAAGAAGAGAAATATAGAAAAGTTAGAGACCATTGTCATTTTACAGGTAAATATAGAGGTTGTGCTCATAATGTTTGCAATCTTAATTTTTGTAATAGATATTTTAAAATTCCTGTATTCTTTCATAACATGAAAAATTATGACGGTCATTTAATTATTCAAAATGCGGATAAATTAAGTAACAACAATAAAATAGGTGTCATCGCTCAGAACAGTGAAAAATTTATTAATATCAGTTTTGAAAGTTTGAGTGTTAAAGACACTTTTGGGTTTTTAACTGCTTCATTAGATAAGTTAGTTTCAATGAGTAAGTATGATAATACAGATGAAGAAGATAAAAGTAAATGGTTATTGCGTGAAGACTGGAAAGATAATTTTAGGTTCAGTAGTAAAAATGATGTGATTAAGAGTGAGAAATGTCTAGATTTATTAACTGATAAAGGCGTTTATCCTTATGACTACATGAATTCATTTGATAAATTTGATGATGAGCAATTACCGAGTAAGGATGATTTTTATAGTCAGTTGAGTGAAGAAGGTATAAGTGTTAACGACTATGAAAGGGCAAAAATTATATGGAAGCATTTCGACATTAAGAATATGGGTGAATACCATGATTTATATTTGAAAACTGATGTATTATTATTGACTGACATTTTCGAAAATTTTAGAGATGTATGTATGAAATATTATGGATTGGACCCTGCTTATTATTATACATTGCCTAACTTTGCTTTTGATGCTATGCTTAAAATGACTGGTGTAGAGATTGATTTAATATATGACCAAGAAATGTATGAAATGATAGAAGCGGGACTTAGAGGCGGGATGTGTATGGTTTCTACTAAAAAAGTTGAAGCAAATAATAAATACATGGGAGAAGAATATGATAAAAATAAAGCAAGTAGTTATATTAACTATTTTGATGCTAATAATTTGTATGGGTTAAGCATGATACAAAAACTGCCATATAAAAATCTAAAATGGGATGATACATTAAAAGAAGAAGACATTATTAATTACAAAAATAATAATATTGGATATATTCTAGAAGTTGATTTAGAATATCCTAAAGAATTACACGATTTACACAATGACTATCCAATGGCACCTGAGGTTATGAATGTTAAAGCCAACATGCTGTCAGATAAACAAATTGAAATTTATGAATTTTTAAATCATAAAAAACCTACGGATGAGAAAACAAATAAATTAATATTGAACTTAAATGATAAAGAAAAATATGTAATCCATATAAGAACCTTACAATTTTATTTGAAGCAAGGGTTAAAACTTAAGAAAATTCATAGAGCAATTAAATTTGAACAAAAAGAAGTTTTAAAACCTTACATTGAGTTTAACACTGAGAAGAGGAAGAATGCTAGAAATGATTTTGAGAAAGATGTTTACAAATTGATGAACAATGCCATATTTGGAAAAACAATGGAGGATAAAAGGAAACATTTAGATTTTGAGGTTGTGAGTGATGAAACTAGATATATGAAGTGTGTAAGTAATCCTAACTTCAAACATAGTCATATCATTAATGAAAATTTGGTTGGAGTTGAAAAGCAAAAAACAAAGTTGAAACTAGACAAACCTATATTTATTGGGATGAGTATTTTAGATTTGAGTAAGCAACACATGTATAAATTTTATTATGACGTTATGAAGCCTAAATATGGAGATAATATTAAAATGGTATATACTGATACTGATAGTTTTGTATTTCATACTAAAACCAATGACATTTATGAAGACCTTAACACAATTAAAAAAGAATTAGATTTTTCAGATTATCCTAAGGAACATAAATGTTATGATGATAATAACAAGAAAGTATTAGGTAAATTTAAGGATGAATTAAAAAGTAAAATAATAACAGGGTTTATAGCTCTTCGTCCTAAATGCTATGCTTACTCAGTTTATGGTGATGATAAAAAATATAAGAAATGTAAGGGCATAGCAAAAGGCACAGTAAGACGTCAAATGAAATATGAAGAGTTTGAGACGGTTTTAAAAACTAATGAGGTTATACATAAGTCATTTAATAGTATTAGAAGTAAAAACCACAGAATTTTTAGTATAACAACTAAAAAAATTGCTCTTAGTAGTTATGAAAACAAAAAATATTGGATAGATAGTATAAACTCACTTGCTTACGGCCATTATAAGATAAATTCTTTGAAAACGACTTAAAGAAATATTGACTTAATATATTATAATAGAAATGGTTGAATTTACTAAAAAAGAGCAAGAAGAAATTATTAATGACTTTTTGAATAAAATAAAAGTTAATGACATTATCAGTAGTTGTATATGTAAACTAATAAATGAAAAAACTAGACTAACTAAGTTAAATTTACCTATTCCGATTGTTAAAAACATTTGTGATTTTAATTATGTTGAATGCGAGAAATGTTTTTTATTAAGAAATGCAAAGCAAGTTTTACATAAAAGTAATTTACATTCAACATTGAGACAATGTATTTATGATAAATACAAATTGAAATTTGAAGAAAATACATTTCTAAATAATGACTCATCATTAAGAACATATTGTTTTATAAAGTTAAATACATTTCCTACATATGAAAAAGTGAAAAAATATATACTGCAAGATAACGAAACATATATTTTAAAATTTTATAATGATATTAAATATTACTACGAACAATCATATGAAGTTAGTTATGGTGGCAAAACTGGAACAACAAGACCAATTGAAGAATTTAATAATAAAATGATATTTAAATTTATTGATGAGTATGATTTATCAAATAATAAAATTGAAAATGATTGCAAGGAAACATTTTTAAACTACATAAAACAAAGAAACCAAGAATTGAAAATCATAATTGATAAAATATGTGATTATATTCAGGATGAACAGAAGAACAATATAATAGGTAAATTAATGTATGGTGATGTGATAAATGATATTAAAAGTGTTTTAGGAAACTGGAGCATAGGTTTTTGCATTTATGATTTTGCTGATAGAAAATATCCATTTAAAAATAATAAACAGAACTTTAAACAAATACCAAAGATTACAAAGGAATATTTAAATACTAATGACTTTGATTAAAACCATACTATGATTATCACATGTAAAATATTATATGTTATAATTGTAATATATTTATCGTTTGTAAAGATTGAATTATTATAATTTGCTTATCTCTTTCAAAGTGCGTTGTTTAGACTTGGCATGCTTCTTCAAATTTTTCGTGCTTTGGCTGTTTGTTTTTGTTTTGTTTGATACTCTTATGATATTTTTTGTTGGTATGTTGCTTTGATTTTTGTTGATGTGTGTTTTTGAGTTTGGGTTCTTTGATGATTTAGAGTGTTGCTGTTTTGTTGGTATGCTTGTTTGAATTATTTAATGTTGCATGCTGTGATTAAATATTTTTGTTGCTGGTTGTGATTATTTATTTTGTTTGCTTGTTGTTCTGGATTTTGTTTTCTGTTTGTTGTGTTGCTGTTGGAAAAAAAATAGTAGAAAGAATAATTCTTTGAATTCTCCTTTTACTATTTTTCCCCCGCCCCCTTGGTGGGGCTGTGAGACCGTTGCGCGTTTGCAGTTTACTCAGGCTCATCCTGAGGAAGTTTCGACTACCCTCGAACACTTGCCCAAAGGAAACTGCGGTGCTCGTTTGGTGGCTTGCTGCCACCACTGCTGGCCGAGCGCAAACACGCTCTTGCGTCTCTTTGTTGCACAAAAGTGTTTTGTCTTTTTTCTTTGACTTAGGGTCACCCTGTCAATGGATGGCATCCTTCTGAATCCCATTCAAGAGCACCCCAACATTACCCTTGTGGCTGTGGCTCAAACAAGCGTGCCAAAATGGCACCTGAATGGAGCCAAAGACTAAAACCTGCGCAACCCTCTCCCTATTTTGCGCCACACCCATGTACCAACCTACCCGCCCACAAAACGAAGGGCACCAAACTCCCACGACCCCACCCCTGCCGCTCCCCCCCAAGCCCAAGCACCAAGCCCGCGCCTGGATGGCGACCAGCCCCAGGCCAGACCTGCCGCCTCGAGGCGCTCTAACGGGAACCGGCTGGAGATGGGCTCTGAAGGGAAACCAAAGCAAGGGGAACCGAAATCCATGGCAAAGGGGAATACGAGTCGGCCCTCATGTCCTCCCCAAACTAAACACTGCCACTTTGTCAGTTGCTCATTGCGGCGAACCAGGAATGCTGTCGAATCGAAGAAGCAAAAACAAATCTATTGGGGTCGTAACACACATTGCTTCAAGCACTATTCAAAAGTCGATTGGAAGACCTCTCATCTAGAAAGAGATCCCCCAAACATGGCAACCAAAAGAGCAACCAAGACTTTGTTGCTGTTAACCCTCTGCAAAAAGTGCTTCTCTCTTTTTGTGGCTTCATTGAGGAAAACCCCTTGTTTCCCAAAAAGTCAAAGTCCAAAGATCCAACCCAATAGTAGCCAAAAAAAAGTGATCCACCCATTCAGATCGACCCGGGCCTTCGTGCACGGCTTGACGGGTGAGCTCATCTTTCTCGCCCTCACAGGGAGCGGCTCTCCCCTCGCAGACCTTTCCCATGTGTCTGGCCTACTTTAACCCGAAAAAGAAAAGAAACAAAGAGAACCCCCAAAAAATCAAGAACCCCCCCCCCAAACCCAACAGCAAATGCCACAAGAAGAACATGGGCGTTTTTTGTGTGTTTTTTCTTCCCCCGGCGCCCGTCCGAAAGCATGTTGTCAACCGCCACCAGCCACTCCTCAAAGTCTTCTTGAAGCCGCTGCCCGGCCGCGTGAAGCCACAGCCTGCCAAGCAGATGGCAGGAGCCCCTTTGGGCAAAGGGCTGTGGTTGTCAAAACCGTTCAAGGGGATCCCATTTTGGTTTTTTAGGACCTATTTTAGTGGTTGGATTGAATCGGCTGTTCACTGGGTGTACGATTCGGATTTTGACCCATGGCCAAAGGGGGTTAGTAGCAAAAATTGGGGGGGGGGGTGCGGAACAGCCTTCCTTGACGGAATCCCAGCAATACCTTTGCCACATCTCGCAATCAGTCACTCAGTCATTGATTGTCCCCACGTACAACACACCAGGATCGCACACTTTGCCAAAGGTTCCAGCAAACCTCATCCTCCTTCCCTTCCTCTTCGCCACCAACTCTGGCCGAGCGGCCCATGCAGCGCCGCCTGCCGGCGCCGCCCAACCGCGCGGCACAAGGCCGCCCGCATCAGGCCGCAGCCCTGCCGGATCGCGAGCTCTGCCCGGCGCTCCTGCCAGGGACCGATTTGCAGCCGCTCCGCCCAACTTCGGAACCTCGGAACCCGCACGAACATCCGGATTCCACAACCCCAGGGATATTAACTTCACACCCAAGGTTGGCTATGGCCATTGGCCTTGATAAATGGCTACTGGGCTTGGCCGGCTAAACCCCATTTTGACTGAAGCCGCGAGCCTACGCCTCCCCTTTGGCGCCTTAGCACGCTCCAAGCCCCGCCGGGCTTCCCCGAAGCGCAGCAGCTGGCGCCAGCCCCTGACCGCGGTCCGCGCCAGGTAGTACCTCGCGCGAGCGGCGGGAGGCCCGCTGTGGATGGACCAAACCCACCCCAGGCACGTCCCAACTGACGCAGGATGCTGCCCTAGGCATTTCTCCTTTGAACATCACACGGGAAGGCAACTCACTTCACACCGGCCCAACCGGTGATGTTTTGAACCACCCTTTGGGTGAAGATATAGCTAGTGAGTTCAAAACAAGGTTGTTACCCAACGGTAGCTTAGGATGTGGGTTTCAGAAAGGGGATAAACCCAAGCGCGCCCAAAGCATCCTGCCCAGAACTGCTTTGGAAGCCTCAACTCACGAAGGGGTACTTAACGGGTGTCTTCACCTGACCACCCTTTGTCATGGAAGGGCAGCTCAGTGCAGTTGCTGTGGCCTGGAAGCAGTTGGCAACCACAGCTATGACCCTTGGAAAAGACTTGCAACCATGGCTGGGTGGGTTGCAACCATGGTTCCTGATCACCTACTGGGTACCTTGCTCTTCAAAGCAGGCAAACGGCCCTGGAAGAAAGGAGCGCAGAACAGGCTACTCCCGGCCATTGGAAAGTCGACTGTTGCGAAACACCTCCTTCAAGGATGCCTCACATTTTTGGCCTATTTCCTAAATCCAATTTACCAGCCATGCCGCCATGCCTTGATTGGTGTTGTTCCAGGAATCCTTACATTATACACCTAAACATTGCCTTGTAAATGGTGGTTTCCCTTTAATTATGTTGGTGGAAAAAGCCATGTTTCAAATGGGCAAAATGTATCTTTTAAGGAGCCCTGTGTTCGGGGGCCCACAAAACTGCATTCCCCCCCTGTCCTTTCCCCGCCCAAAGCACGCGGCGCAGCCCTTGGCCGCCCCCAGCGCGTCGCGCAGCCGCCGCGTGGCCAGGGACTGCCGCTGCAGCCGGGTCTCCTGTTTCTTTTAAGGCGCCCCCCACAGAGCCCCGATCAAAACATGGCTGTGGGTCCAAAATGGGTACCTCAAAATGGAACCCTGGTAAATGGAAACAGGGACTAAAACCTTAATTTTGACCCACACGCACATGGGAAATTGAGTGAGGCCCTGGTGCTTGTGGGACTGTCAGTGAGTTCCTCAGGTCCCTCCCAGATGGACCCCAGACAAATGGGAAGTTTGGCGCTATGAATTGCAACGCGGGGAAACCGCGCAACGGGCTTCCCTACGTTTGCTCAATCTAAATGTGAATGCTAATGCTTGGAACACCCTCAACAATGGTTAGTGGAAACCAAAAAAGAGTGTAAATGACGCTCTCCTGATATGTTTCCTTTGAACATCACCCCGCAAAAAGGAAACACACTCAAAGTTGAGCCAACAGGTGCTGTGTCACCGTGCTAAACGGGGGCATATAGGCCTGATATGAGCTCTCCCACATGCAGAGTTTCATCCCAGTTCGTGAAAAAACTCTTGTTTTTTGGGTTCCCCGCCTTCCAGCAGTGGATGATGGAATGGGCAACCAGCCGTCTTCCAAAAAACCCGAAACGGAGGGCGGAAAGCGGCACCTCTTTGTGTGTGTTGGGCAGTCTCCCCGCAAATAATGAGTGAGCCAGTGGAGTTTGGCTCATACAAAACAACACAGGGTCGTTGGATTGAACGGTAGACATCATCTTCTGGCATCCATGGTCGTTTTCAGTAGCGGCTTCAGATCCATCCTGCTAATAGGGTGTCCAGGACAGTCTTCTAATACTTGGAACCGAAAGGAAGAGACCCCTGCTTAAGGACGCGCACACCACACTGTCCCGTCGAACTTCAGAAAAGGTGTTTAACCACGGTGCCCCTTCAGGAAGCCCCTTGCGCACGACCCCCTCTCGGGCTTCCCAAGCAGGCTTTGGGCAGTTGGCAGAGCCGACCGAAGGGTCGCGACCTGAGGTTTCCCTTTTGTCTCCTTGTCAAGCCTGCCCGAGACACGGTACTCTCAAAACAAGACGATATCCATATGCCCTCATCCGAAATGCGAAATGGACTCTCTAGGGTGACACAAACATCCATAAAAGCAAAAAACTGTGACAAACTTCTGCTTGGGGCCTTAAGAAATTCTGGCGTCTCTTTCTTTGACAGGTACCCTTCCGAGTTCCCTTTTTGAGAAGCCACAAGAAGCCAAAGGAAACGGAGCTCAAGTTCCGAGCGGGTTTTGTTGCAAGGTGTGTCAATCAACATGGGGGAACCCTAACATGGCCTGGTGTCAAGTTTCTTCTACCCCAAAAAGGGTACCTCCTAAAAAGGGAAAAACTGCGTAATTTGTCTGGACGGATTCCAATGAATCGCCAGCCGGGAATAAGTCTAATGAACTTACTTTTGAGAGAAAACCCATTTGAGGCTTTCTCAAATGGACCCTTTTGATTGCCAGTCAAAGGGAAACCAAAGGAAACCCACCACTTGAAGGGGTCCCTCATCTCCCCATATTTCCCTCTCAAAAGCCAAGAGAAACCGAATCCCCTTCTTTCACGGCATACTTGGCATCTCAAAACAGGAAAACCCCAAACCTATGAGGTGGTTCTTCTGGGCTCCCTCCAGGTCTCTCGCTTTTTTGTGAGGTCCCACGGGTCGCCCATGGGTCCCATGGGTCGCCCATGGGTCCCACGGCGTCGAGCTCCTTGAACTCCAAGAGCTCCAGCAGCTTGGCGCGCTCCGCCTCCCGCGCCGTCAGCTCCCTCTCGGCCTCCTCTGAGGCGTACGACGGCTTTTGCGCGCGGGGTGGGGGTTTTGGGGCGCGGACACCCGGCAAGTTGGCCGGGGTTGGGCAAAAATGGGCTTGAACCAAATTTTACCCCAGCTTCTTTCAAAGGAGAATCAGTCTTGGTGCTTAGGCAGGGAGTTCATGTTCGCCCAACCTTGAGGCGAGGCTTGCGCGGCTCTCTGTGGTCAAAACTGACACGCTTGGACTTTGCCATGACCAGCCACCGGATTCAGTCCCTCCCCTTGAACGAGGAAGGCCCGAAGCTCGGTCTGTGCCACGGGGAACAAGCGCAAGCCCGGAACTTGCGACGGTCTCCTCGCTCGCTGCCGCCGCCTCTCGCAGCCGGCCGCGCAAAGCAACCTGCACGAGCGACAGAGGGCGTGGGCGGGCAGGTGCGGAAAGTGTTCGGGGAGGGGGGGGGGGGGGGTTTTGCTTGGGGTAAGGGGGTGCTTTGTAAGGAGGTCAGCTTTGGACTTCCATTTTGCTCCTTCACCCGGACAGGGCCATTGTAAATCACTGCAGTTAGCATTGCTTTCAGGATTGCGATAAGGTTTGCTTCTGACTGGGGCCACGTGATATCATCGCCAAGCACCCCTAGAAGTCTTGGACACCTTGATGAGTTGAACCAAGCTCACATCTATGTTCAACCAAAGTGACCTAAAAGGACACCTTTGCGTTCCTCAATAGACTTCCAGTGTCTTGTGCGTCAAACATTCCACGCCCCGCCTCTTGTGCCTCCTCCTTCTCTTCCATCCGGCCACATTGGCTGGCTTCAACAATCGTGCTGACTTGGATACCCCACTGCAGCCGCTATCTCAAGACGGCATTGAGTCCGAAAGTCGAAAATGAAAGAACACGAAAAACACAGAGTGCTCAAACACCCTCAACCCAACAGAACAGTTGCCTGGACTGACGAGTCAATTCTATGTGCCATTCGTGCAACGATAAGGCTCTGGATAGCGTTGATACAAGCATGCAACCAAACAGCCTGCCACCACCCTGTCAGCCGGTGCCACAAACATGGCGATCGATCTCCGCAGTTTCGCTCTCGCATCGCTGACATTACATGCTCTCAGCCCCTTCCTGTGCGGAAACTGCGGCTCAAGGCTGTCCTGCCACCTGTGAGCAATGCCCGAAGAACTAGAATAGGGTTGCGGGATACCCTGCGGCTAACATACGTCATTATCATTGCATAAAAATCTTAATGTATAATATATATATATATATAGATATATGTGTATATATATATATGTATATGCAATTTGTTCGTCCCATGTTTTCGTTTTTTTTTGTGGGGGGGAGGCATACATAGTTCCAATACGGTGGTCTAAGGACCAGCCTCAATCGATTGGACGGCCAAGATCTCCAGGCCGCAGGTGGCCGCCTTCGGTGACCTCCTTGAAATAGAAATAGGGACACCGGTGAGACTATAGGCGCTTTGGGATTGTTGGCTGGGGTGGGTTGCTCGAAATGGGGGGGGAGGCGTATCCCTAATCCATACAACGCAACAAGGAACCACAACCATCCAGGATTGCGGATTGATTTGGAACAACCCAGCGCAGCGTTCGCGGCCAGGTTTGGCCTCTGCACCAGCCGTCAATCCAAACCTATGAATAGGTGAGAACTCACCCAAGTGGGCGGTTCCCATGACGCGTGGCACAAGCACTCGCAACTCTTTCTGTGACGTGGCGGGCCCGGAGCAAGGGGTGCCAATTCGAATTCCAGCGATGTCTCGCACCTCAGGCCGGAAGTTCTTGCGCCAAAAGGGGCGTCTACTGCCCAGCGGTTGATTGGGGAAAACCCCTGGTTTCTCTGCGACCACTGGGGGCACCCTTACCGGTTTAGAATTGGGCTACCACTGTGTGAAAAAACGCACTCACAGGGTTAGAATTGGGCTAGCAGTCGCGAAATCTAACTTGGGATTGGTAAAAGAGACGGCGCTCAAGCACCGGCAGATAGGCAACTTCTCAGCATGGAGGAAAACATGCCAAACCCCGAACAACTAACACCACAAGCATGCAAGAGGAGACACCACTGCAAGTGAAGAACGCCCAATTCAGCAAGAAACGAGAAAAGAACAAATGGTCTCACACAAAAGTTGTCGACGGAATGCGCCGCAGCAGCCGCAGCTTGCCTGCATACTACTTTGATAAAACAAAAAACTGGTGCCTTTTTTTTCCGAAAATGGGAAACGAAAAGAACAGGAAAGGAAAAGGCAGGAAAGGACAGGAAAGGAAAGGAAGACAGAAGCTGGTTGGTCGCACGTGGGTTTGATCCGGGGCATTCTGATCCGGTGCGATACCACTACACCAACCGCCCCAGATACCAAGGGCTGGAAAAAAAGTTTCGGCCCAATGGTGGCTTTTTGGCCGTTGCAACCCACCCAAAGCCGCCGCTATGATTCAATCCCACAACCTGAAGCAACATGGCAAAACTCCAGGACAGCCCGCTAATAGTCCACCAGGACCCGCCAATAGCGTGGGTCCAAACAGCCAGCGTTTGAGGCAAAAACACTCACTTCGGCTCTGCGGCCCTCGCAATGGCCGTTTCTTTGGCTTCGAAACCTTTGTGTTTTGAGGGTTCCGCGCTTGTTCACCCCTTATCGTGTTAAGTTGGTTTCTATCGCTGATTGTCAGGTTCCGCCAGAGTGTTCACTTCTTAAGCGGTGGTTGGCCCCCCCATCTCACTGGGAGATTTGAGGTTTCCATTTACCAGGGTTCCATTCTTGACCCACACCCATATATTCATAGAAAAAATGAATTCTTCGTGATCCAAACATGTCCCACAGGGGCAAGGGGATCGATCCACCACTTCGGAGGGCCTCAAAAGTCGTGAAGCTATGCGCCCCACCCACACCGCGAAAACCAGCGAGTTGCGACATGCGAATAAAGGGAAACCCAGTCCCGTCAAGAATTCCCAACAAGGGTTCTTTGCTCGAAAAAAAGCTTGACAAGGTTCTAACCCATGGGCCAACCGCCAACCGATGGTTCAATATTGCCTTTTAAAAATATGGTTTAACCATCATCCTGTGGGTTTTATGCACCTAACCAAACTCTGGACACAGTTCTTAGCACCCTGTTCGGGGGACTATTTCCTGACTGCGAGGAGCTGATCAACTTGGCGCAAACGACGTTCAGGCCGCTACAGCCTCAGCCTGAGCACAGGGCGGTTTTCTGGGCCTGGGAAATACAACCCGGCAGGCTTAACACATCTCAACATGGATTGCCGCACGGAGAGTTGGGTGGCAAGGCGTGGCGGCATCCGTGAAACAAACAAACAATCAAACAGACAATCAAACAGACACGAACAAAAAACAAACAAGCGAGAGAAAGAGAGAGGCAAAGACGCAAAGGCAAAGACAAATCAAGAGGGAAACACAGAGCCATTTTTTCACACACACACACACACCAAGCTCACCAGACTTGATACGCAAGCAACATCTTCGCCCACATGGTCTGCGCCCACCCTCCCTTCACTCCCCTGACTCCCCTCTCCTCGGCTGCAATCCTCCAAAACGACCTGCGCAGGGCTTCAATGAGTTCATGCGACGTGTGCCTCGATGCCTGGCCTCGCGCCATCTCAGCTTCGGCCTGCCGCCTCTGCAGCTCGTCCGTCTTGCTCAGGCACCCCCATAGGTTGCCTTAGCCACTCATCCCCTGGAAGTTGACAGCCGGATAGCTCAAGATATCCAAACTCCAGTCACAAAAGTCGAATATGCCGCCAAGTCGCGCACATCCATTTCCTGATGCTTTGTCAGGAACCCGCCTTTGTTTAAGGCCTTGTAGTGCTTGACTCGCTCTTGCATTTCCTCCCTCGCCGCCTTCATCGCCATCTCGTACTAGCCGTTGACCAAAGCGCAAGAGGAGTATGAGACTCGTACTCCTCTTGAGCTTTGGTCAACGGGCGGACTGGCGGGGCGAGGATCTCCACATCCTTCGGCGCTGACTGCGCTGGAGCCTGCGCGGCCGACTCAGCTTCCGGCTCTTGTGGCGCTGCTGCAGCCAATGGCGCAGGTGAAGGCGATGGCCCCACCAGAGGCACCCCTGCGTCAGCCGCGGGCCTTCGTGCCCGCAGCAAGCGGCGCAGGCCAGCACAGCATTTTGCCACGGCCGACGGCATGCTTGCTGAAAACCTTTGTGCAAAATGCTGAACTACGCCCCTATGCCTGAGCCTGAAAACCACGTCGCCATGCTCTGCAAGCAGCTTTTGCCCAAGCTTGCAGTGCGACAAAGCATCAATGGTCGGTCAATGAACTAACAGGCGTTTCTACTTCACTTGACCAAGGAGAGTCGAACCCCCGTGTGGGGGAGGGGGGGGGGGGCGGGGGCTTGGTGAGTAAAATCAAGCCTCCCTCTAAAAGAAGCCTTGCTAACGCAAGCAACTACTCAAGATAACCATCCTGTAAGGCTACCTTTCGTGGAATGGAAGAAGTCCGCTACAAAATGATACTATGCACCATTCGTGCAACAATAAGGCTCTGGATGGCGTTGATACAAGCATTCAACCAAACAGCCTGCCACCACCCGCTCAGCTGCCACAAACATGGCGATCGATCTCCGCAGTTTCGCTCTCGCATCGCTGACATTACATGCTCGCAGCCCCTTCCTGTCCGGAAACTGCGGCTCAAGGCTGTCCTGCCACCTGTTTTGGAAAACGATGTCTGAGCAATGCCCCAAGAACTAGAATAGGGTTGCGGGATACCCTGCGGATAAAATACGTCATTATCATTGAATAATAATCTTCATGTATGTATATATATATATACATGTATATGTATATATGCGTTTTCGGATTCTTCTGTGTTTTTTTTTTGGGGGGGGGGGCATACATAGTTCCAATACGGTGGTCTAAGGACCAGCCTCAATCGATTGCGGATTGATTTGGAACAACCCAGCGCGGCTTTCGCGGCCAGGTTTGGCCTCTGCACCAGCCGTCAATCCAAACCTATGAATAGGTGAGAACTCACCCAAGTGGGCGGTTCCCATGACGCGTGGCACAAGCACTCGCAACTCTTTCTGTGACTTGGCCCCGGGCCCTGAGCAAGGGCCAATTCGAATTCCAGCCATGTCTCGCGGAAGCCTTTGTGCAGAAAGGGGCGTCTACCGCCCAGCGGTTGATTCGGGAAACACCCTGGTTTCTCTGCGACCACTGGGGGCACCCTTACCGGTTTAGAATTGGGCTACCACTGTGTGAAAAACGCACTCACAGGGTTAGAATTGGGCTAGCAGTCGCGAAATCTAACTTGGGATTGGTAAAAGAGACGGCGCTCAAGCACCGGCAGAAATGCAACTTCTCAGCATGGAGGAAAACATGCCAAACCCCGACCAAAAAAACACAACTAACACCACAAGCACGCAAGAGGAGACACCACTGCAAGTGAGGAACGCCCAATTCAGCAAGAAACGAGAAAAGAACAAATGGTTTCTCACAAAAGTTGTCGACGGAATGCATCGCAGCAGCCGCAGCTTGCCTGCATACTACTTTGATAAAAACCAAAAAACTGGTGCCCTTTATTTTCCGAAAATGGGAAACGAAATGGACAGGAAAGGAAAAGGCAGGAAAGGACAGGACAGGAAAGGAACAAAGAAGCTGGTTGGCCGCACGTGGGTTTGATCCGGGGCATTCTGATCCGGTGCGATACCACTACACCAACCGCCCCACATACCAAGGGCTGGGAAAAAAGTTCACCAGAAGGAGCTTCTGGATAGTTTCGGCCCAATCGTTGCTTTTTGGCCGTTGCAACCCACCTAGTTAAGTTGGTTTCTATCGCTGATTGTCAGGTTCCGCCAGAGTGTTCACTTCTTAAGCCCATCTCACCGGGAGATTTGAGGTTTCCATTTACCAGGGTTCCATTTTGGGTACCTGTTTTTGACCCACACCCATATATTAATAGGGGAAAGCATTCTTCTTGATCCAAACATGTCCCACAGGGGCAAGGGGATCGATCCACCACTTCGGAGGGCCTCAAAAGTCGTGAAACTATGCGCCCCACCCACACCGCGAAAACCCGCGAGTTGCGACATGCGAATAACCCCCAGGCCCTTCAAGAACTTCCCCACAAGGGTTCTTTGCTCGAAAAAAAGCTTGACAAGGTTCTAACCCATGGGCCAACCGCCAACCTCTGGTTCAACATTGCCTTTTAAAAATATGGTTTAACCATCATCCTGTGGGTTTTATGCACCTAACCAAACTCTGGACACAGTTCTTAGCACCCTGTTCGGGGGACTACTTCCTGACTGCGAGGAGCTGATCAACTTGGCGCAAACGACGTTCAGGCCGCTACAGCCTCAGCCTGAGCACAGGGCGGTTTTCTGGGCCTGGGAAATACAACCCGGCAGGCTTAACACATCTCAACATGGATTGCCGCACGGAGAGTTGGGTGGCAAGGCCAAGGCGTAGCGACATCCGTGAAACAAACAAACAAACAAACAAACAAACAGACACGAACCTCTGCGCCCACCCTCCCTTCGCTCCCCTCACTCCCCTCTCCTCGGCTGCAATCCTCCAAAACGACCTGCGCAGGGCTTCAATGAGTTCACGCGACCTGTCTCACTCGAGGCCTGGCCTCACGCCATCTCAGCTTCGGCCTGCCGCCTCTGCAGCTCGGCCGTCTTACTCAAGCACCCCCATAGGTTGCCTTAGCCGTTCGTCCTCTGCAAGTTGACAGCCGGATAGCTCAACATATCCAAACTCCGGTCACAAAAGTCGAATATGCCGCCAAGTCGCGCACATCCATTTCCTGATGCTTTGTCAAGAACCCGCCTTTGTTCAAGGCCTTGTAGTGCTTGACTCGCTCTTGCATTTCCTCCCTCGCCGCCTTCATCGCCATCTCATACTCCTCTTGCGCTTTGGTCAACGGGCGGACTGGCGGGGCGAGGATCTCCACATCCTTCGGCGACTGCGCTGGAGCCTGCGCGGCCGACTCAGCTTCCGGCTCTTGTGGCGCTGCTGGAGCCGGTGGCGCAGGTGGAGGCGATGGCCCCACCAGAGGCACCCCTGCGTCAGCCGCGGGCCTTCGTGCCCGCAGCAAGCGGAGCAGGCCAGCACAGCATTTTGCCACGGCCGACGGCATACTTGCTGAAAACCTTTGTGCAAAATGTTGAACTACCCTATGCCTGAGCCTGGAAACCACGTCGCCATGCTCTGCAAGCAGCTTCTGCCCAAGCTTGCAGTGCGACAAAGCATCAACCAAGGAACACATGGTCGGTCAATGAACTAACAGGCGTTTCTACTTCACTTGACCAAGGAGAGTCGAACCCCTGTGTGGGGGGGGGCGGGGGGGGGCGGGGGCTTGGTGAGCAAAATCAAGCCTCCCTCTAAAAGAAGCCTTGCTAACGCAAGCAACTACTCAGGATAACCATCCTGTGGGGCTACCTTTCGTGGAATGGTCGTGGAATGGAAGAAGTCCGCTACAAAATGATTCTATGCGCCATTCGTGCAACAATAAGGCTCTGGATGGCGTTGATACAAACATTCAACCGAACAGCCTGCCACCACCCGGTCAGCTGGTGCCACAAACATGGCGATCGATTTCCGCAGTTTCACTCTCGCATCGCTGATATTACATGCTCGCAGCCCCTTCCTGTGCGGAAACTGCGGCTCAAGGCTGTCCTGCCACCTGTTTTGGAAAACGATGTCTGAGCAATGCCCAAAGAACTAGAATAGGGTTGTGGGATACCCTGCGGCTAACATACGCCATTATCATTGCATAATAATCTTAATGTATGTATATATATATATGTATATATTGTAAATATATGTATATGTATATATGCGTTTTCGGATTCTTCTGTGTTGTTTTTTTTTGGGGGGGGGGGCATACATAGTTCCAATACGGTGGTCTAAGGACCAGCCTCAATCGATACGGCCGAGATCTCCAGGCCGCAGGTGGCCGCCTTCGGTGACCTCCTTGAAATAGAAATAGGGACACCGGTGAGACTATAGGCGCTTTGGGATTGTTGGCTGGGGTGGGTTGCTCGAAATGGGGGGGGAGGCGTATCCCTAATCCATACAACGCAACAAGGAACCACAACCATCCAGGATTGCGGATTGATTTGGAACAACCCAGCGCGGCTTTCGCGGCCAGGTTTGGCCTCTGCACCAGCCGTCAATCCAAACCTATGAATAGGTGAGAACTCACCCAAGTGGGCGGTTCCCATGACGCGTGGCACAAGCACTCGCAACTCTTTCTGTGACGTGGCGGGCCCGGAGCAAGGGGTGCCAATTCGAATTCCAGCGATGTCTCGCACCTCAGGCCGGAAGTCTTTGCGCCAAAAGGGGCGCCTACTGCCCAGCGGTTGATTGGGGAAAACCCCTGGTTTCTCTGCGACCACTGGGGGCACCCTTACCGGTTTAGAATTGGGCTACCACTGTGTGAAAAAACGCACTCACAGGGTTAGAATTGGGCTAGCAGTCGCGAAATCTAACTTGGGATTGGTAAAAGAGACGGCGCTCAAGCACCGGCAGATAGGCAACTTCTCAGCATGGAGGAAAACATGCCAAACCCCGAACAACTAACACCACAAGCACGCAAGAGGAGACACCACTGCAAGTGAAGAACGCCCAATTCAGCAAGAAACGAGAAAAGAACAAATGGTCTCACATAAAAGTTGTCGACGGAATGCGCCGCAGCAGCCGCAGCTTGCCTGCATACTACTTTGATAAAACAAAAAACTGGTGCCTTTTTTTTCCGAAAATGGGAAACGAAAAGAACAGGAAAGGAAAAGGCAGGAAAGGACAGGAAAGGAAAGGAAGAAAGAAGCTGGTTGGTCGCACGTGAGTTTGATCCGGGGCATTCTGATCCGGTGCGATACCACTACACCAACCGCCCCAGATACCAAGGGCTGGAAAAAAAGTTTCGGCCCAATGGTGGCTTTTTGGCCGTTGCAACCCACCCAAAGCCGCCGCTATGATTCAATCCCACAACCTGAAGCAACATGGCAAAACTCCAGGACAGCCCGCTAATAGTCCACCAGGACCCGCCAATAGCGTGGGTCCAAACAGCCAGCGTTTGAGGCAAAAACACTCACTTCGGCTCTGCGGCCCTCGCAATGGCCGTTTCTTTGGCTTCGAAACCTTTGTGTTTTGAGGGTTCCGCGCTTGTTCACCCCTTATCGTGTTAAGTTGGTTTCTATCGCTGATTGTCAGGTTCCGCCAGAGTGTTCACTTCTTAAGCGGTGGTTGGCCCCCCCATCTCACTGGGAGATTTGAGGTTTCCATTTACCAGGGTTCCATTCTTGACCCACACCCATATATTCATAGAAAAAATGAATTCTTCGTGATCCAAACATGTCCCACAGGGGCAAGGGGATCGATCCACCACTTCGGAGGGCCTCAAAAGTCGTGAAGCTATGCGCCCCACCCACACCGCGAAAACCCGCGAGTTGCGACATGCGAATAAAGGGAAACCCAGTCCCGTCAAGAATTCCCAACAAGGGTTCTTTGCTCGAAAAAAAGCTTGACAAGGTTCTAACCCATGGGCCAACCGCCAACCGATGGTTCAATATTGCCTTTTAAAAATATGGTTTAACCATCATCCTGTGGGTTTTATGCACCTAACCAAACTCTGGACACAGTTCTTAGCACCCTGTTCGGGGGACTATTTCCTGACTGCGAGGAGCTGATCAACTTGGCGCAAACGACGTTCAGGCCGCTACAGCCTCAGCCTGAGCACAGGGCGGTTTTCTGGGCCTGGGAAATACAACCCGGCAGGCTTAACACATCTCAACATGGATTGCCGCACGGAGAGTTGGGTGGCAAGGCGTGGCGGCATCCGTGAAACAAACAAACAATCAAACAAACAATCAAACAGACACGAACAAAAAACAAACAAGCGAGAGAAAGAGAGAGGCAAAGATACAAAGGCAAAGACAAATCAAGAGGGAAACACAGAGCCATTTTTTCACACACACACACACACCAAGCTCACCAGACTTGATACGCAAGCAACATCTTCGCCCACATGGTCTGCGCCCACCCTCCCTTCACTCCCCTGACTCCCCTCTCCTCGGCTGCAATCCTCCAAAACGACCTGCGCAGGGCTTCAATGAGTTCATGCGACGTGTGCCTCGATGCCTGGCCTCGCGCCATCTCAGCTTCGGCCTGCCGCCTCTGCAGCTCGTCCGTCTTGCTCAGGCACCCCCATAGGTTGCCTTAGCCACTCATCCCCTGGAAGTTGATAGCCGGATAGCTCAAGATATCCAAACTCCAGTCACAAAAGTCGAATATGCCGCCAAGTCGCGCACATCCATTTCCTGATGCTTTGTCAGGAACCCGCCTTTGTTTAAGGCCTTGTAGTGCTTGACTCGCTCTTGCATTTCCTCCCTCGCCGCCTTCATCGCCATCTCGTACTAGCCGTTGACCAAAGCGCAAGAGGAGTATGAGACTCGTACTCCTCTTGAGCTTTGGTCAACGGGCGGACTGGCGGGGCGAGGATCTCCACATCCTTCGGCGCTGACTGCGCTGGAGCCTGCGCGGCCGACTCAGCTTCCGGCTCTTGTGGCGCTGCTGCAGCCAATGGCGCAGGTGAAGGCGATGGCCCCACCAGAGGCACCCCTGCGTCAGCCGCGGGCCTTCGTGCCCGCAGCAAGCGGCGCAGGCCAGCACAGCATTTTGCCACGGCCGACGGCATGCTTGCTGAAAACCTTTGTGCAAAATGCTGAACTACGCCCCTATGCCTGAGCCTGAAAACCACGTCGCCATGCTCTGCAAGCAGCTTTTGCCCAAGCTTGCAGTGCGACAAAGCATCAATGGTCGGTCAATGAACTAACAGGCGTTTCTACTTCACTTGACCAAGGAGAGTCGAACCCCCTGTGTGGGGGAGGGGGGGGGGGGCGGGGGCTTGGTGAGTAAAATCAAGCCTCCCTCTAAAAGAAGCCTTGCTAACGCAAGCAACTACTCAAGATAACCATCCTGTAAGGCTACCTTTCGTGGAATGGAAGAAGTCCGCTACAAAATGATACTATGCGCCATTCGTGCAACAATGAGGCTCTGGATGGCGTTGATACAAGCATTCAACCAAACAGCCTGCCACCACCCGCTCAGCTGCCACAAACATGGCGATCGATCTCCGCAGTTTCGCTCTCGCATCGCTGACATTACATGCTCGCAGCCCCTTCCTGTCCGGAAACTGCGGCTCAAGGCTGTCCTGCCACCTGTTTTGGAAAACGATGTCTGAGCAATGCCCCAAGAACTAGAATAGGGTTGCGGGATACCCTGCGGATAAAATACGTCATTATCATTGAATAATAATCTTCATGTATGTATATATATATATATGTATATATGTAAATATATGTATATGTATATATGCGTTTTCGGATTCTTCTGTGTGTGTTTTTTTTTTTGGGGGGGGGGGCATACATGGTTCCAATACGGTGGTCTAAGGACCAGCCTCAATCGATACGGCCGAGATCTCCAGGCCGCAGGTGGCCGCCTTCGGTGACCTCCTTGAAATAGAAATAGGGACACCGGTGAGACTATAGGCGCTTTGGGATTGTTGGCTGGGGTGGGTTTCTCGAAATGGGGGGGGAGGCGTATCCCTAATCCATACAACGCAACAAGGAACCACAACCATCCGGGATTGCGGATTGATTTGGAACAACCCAGCGCGGCTTTCGCGGCCAGGTTTGGCCTCTGCACCAGCCGTCAATCCAAACCTATGAATTTCAGGTGAGAACTCACCCAAGTGGGCGGTTCCCATGACGCGTGGCACAAGCACTCGCAACTCTTTCTGTGACTCGGCCCCGGGCCCTGAGCAAGGGCCAATTCGAATTCCAGCCATGTCTCGCACCTCAGGCCGGAAGCCTTTGCGCAAAAAGGGGCGTCTACCGCCCAGCGGTTGATTCGGGAAACACCCTGGTTTCTCTGCGACCACTGGGGGCACCCTTACCGGTTTAGAATTGGGCTACCACTGTGTGAAAAACGCACTCACAGGGTTAGAATTGGGCTAGCAGTGGCGAAATCTAACTTGGGATTGGTACCGGCAGAAATGCAACTTCTCAGCATGGAGGAAAACATGCCAAACCCCGACCAAAAAAACACAACTAACACCACAAGCACGCAAGAGGAGAC